CGCTACGTCAGTTACAGGTTAAGGGGTGTCTTGAATGGACGAAGGCAATGCTTGTGAAAAAATATAGTAGTTCTATTTTGAAATGAGAAATAATTCGCTTTTTGTCAATTAAGGAAACTCGTAGTATTATCAAATAGAATGTCAGTGAAAGACACTGGGGTTGCATAGTGAATTATGAAGGTATTGAAAGGTATTAAAGAAGGAATTTGAACAAACAAGGTAAGGTTATACGCTATTCATTACAAGAAAAAGCTGTTCAAAAGATGTATGTTAGAATTAAGTAAGTATAAATTAGAAAGTAAGATGTTAAAATAAAAAGATGCAACAAAGTAAAACCAATGAATACTGGTAATAGAAATTAATACTGGAAAATAGTAATTTGAGTACGATATTGAAAAAGTTGGTTTTAAGAATTTCTTTATGCACGTGATGCAAAACAATTGCTAGTTTTTCATGAGTGCGGACAAAGATGCAATTAGTGTAGGAAAAAGGTAAAATTAGTATAGTCAGTGTCTCTAAAACATGAAAAAATAATAGTATGAGCAGTGTAAATTCATTTGAAGTACTGAAATATGACATAGACTAAATATCAGAAGATGTAAGAAATATTTTGGTATGTGTGGAAGAAACACTGAATGTGGTTGCAAAATTAGAAATGAAAATTATCAACGCACTTAAAGGTAATCGGGATTTAAAACTAAACATGATGTTAGAAACTTTGAAGACCATAAAACTATATGAGAAAGAAATACATTTAGATATAAATGGTATTAAACTGTAAAGTTGTGAAGGGAAATTTCTGAGTAAAACCTGTAAATGATCTATTATGATCGGAGAATATAACAAGTACTTTAAAAATTGTAAGGAAATATGGAATAAATGAAAAACAATCCATATCGTTAAAATGAATAAAATGGGATAAAATGTTGAAATTACGAGTGATGACACAGAAATAAAAACAGTATAATAAATAGTTAAACTAAAATTAAGAAATATAAACACAGAAGAGAAATCATGAACGTAAGAAAAGCAGTTAACAGTTATAGACTTAAGTTAAAAAAAATATTCGGTAACGTAAGGAAGATATTGTTAAACATGTGAAAGAAATTAGAAATTCTGTAGAAAATTTAGTAAAATAACTAAGATCACGAAAATTAAACGTTTCTTTTTAAATAGAATTTCAAACAACTAAGTTAAAGTGTGTATAGAATACTAGAATGGTTTAAAAAAAGTAAATGGAAATTAAAATTCAGAATATATTGAACGTTATAACGTTAAAAAAGTGTGAAATTGCATCTAAAATTAAGTAATGTAACAAATAAACAGCATGTGCGGGAACGTTTGTGAAATATAACATATAAGTTAAAATCAGGGTATGCTGAAATTTATGAAAGGTATGAAAAAAATAATATGTGGAAATTAAATAAAATATTACAAATTAGAAACGTTAAGTATTAAAAAAAATATGACAGTAAATGAATATGTTATTATGAACAGAAAACCTAAGAAATAAGTTAAAGTTTCAACGAAAACTAGAAAGGATAAAAGTATGAGAATAAAATTGAGTAATAAAAACAAATTATCTTGTAGTTTCATTTTCATGACATGATGAACTATCATTTAAAGGAAAGTCTTTTTTATATTTGTTTCTTTTTTATAATTGTTACATTGAATAATTTTAACACCAGACTTAAAAATATATTTCTAAAACATATAATTCACTTTTTTATCAATAGAGGGCAGCATCGCCATTTCATCAAAATAAGATGCAGAAAATATTTCCCATTGCCAATTTTAAAAAACTAACTTTAAATGAAAAGCAGGAGGCCTGCAACTCAACCAGCAGAATAAAAATAACTCAAAAGAACTCGTGACAACGCCCCTTGGTGTGATGTCATTGATGACGTTGCACAATGCACCTGTGACGTCATTGGCCACGCCCCTAACCCTCTGATGCAGAACTCTCATTATTATACTACTTCCCTTTAATAACTTTATCTCTAATAAAAGAAGCAAATAAAGTAACAATATCAAAACTAAGAATTCACAGCATAATGAATAATAATGTATATCAACCCACAGACTTTGAAGATCTAAAACACAACTTAGAGCTGCATCTTACAAATTTTTACACAAAATCTCTTTTGCCAAACTCTGAACTCAATAAATATGAACTAACTATATATACTGATGGTTCGAAATCTGAAGCAGGCGTCGGTAGTGCATATTGCGCATTCCGAAAAAATTCAAATATTAAACTGGAATATTCGTTTAAACAATAACAACTCAGTTTTTCAGACAGAACTTTTCGCAATTAAAGAAGCCATATACTTCGCAAAATATATTTCCATACCATCCTTAATTCTCTCTAACAGGGCATCTGGTATTCATGCCAAAAATGGGGCGTGAACAAATTTGAAAACTGAGTTAATTGTAGTTTTTCATCCACACCCAAGTGGTTCAATTCGATTTCCGGTGGTTACATCTGTCTTTCTCCCATTTTGCTCATATCCAGCTGCAGGACAGAATATTGAAATTTTAAATTAGCTCCTGCCGCCTTCAAAAAATGTAATCCTAAATTACGACAGCTTGAAGATGTTTCACAAAAAGGGCCACCCCTAACTGTTTATTTTTTGTCTATGCATGTGTATCGCTTGCCTTGGACGGCAGTAACTTCTCCTCCCCCGTATTAAAAAATCTAAATTTTATAAAGTATTTTCGAAAAACCATTTCTGGAAGAAAGTTGCATTGAGCTCCGGTGTCAATCAATGCAACTGCAGAGGCATTATTTAGTAACAGCTGACAAATGCCAATTTTTAACCATGGTGTAATCAATGGAATTTTTGAGGGATTTTCTTGCCCCTGATATAACTGTTCTTTCTAACTCTGATATAACTCTGATAACTGCTTACTGTACTCTCTTATCTTCAGTACTGCTTCTTATTTTATATTTTTACTTTTTCTTTTTATTTTGCTCTTCATTTTGGCAATCGTTACTCACAATTGAATCGGTTCTCCTGTTATCGAATCGTTTTTTTCTTGCCAATCTGTGGTCTTCGCTTAGGAGCGGTTTTAAAAATTTGCCCTGTCATGCGTGTTTTTTCCGCTATCGGTCTGTATTGAAATTCAGTTGCTAACTCAAATAGACCTTTTTCTTTCTCGAATAGACGTTGCATTGCGAAGCTGAAAATAATCCCGGATTTGCGGCAATAGCATAGACAAATTAATTTGAATAATTTCTTCATCCGGCCATACAGCAAATTAAAAATTTGTACATTTCTTAAAATAAATTCCGTTAAGTCAACTTTAAACTGAAATTTATTAAATAGCTTCACCTAAAATTTACAAAATAACGCAACACGGCAGAAGACTACTCTCAAGAGCATCATATAAGCAACTTGGCTTTCAGCAGGCGAACATGCCCTGATTCTGCCCTCTGAAACGTTTACTCTCTGTTTTAAATACTGCCTCCTATCTAACTCATTTGAATACACGCGAGGTAGAAATTTACATCCTCGTAAGAAAATAAAATTACTCTGTTAGACTGACAAACTAGTTATCGCTCTTTTTATGTGACTATGACAGAGTTCTTTGAAGGTTTTATAAAAACCTCTTTATTAAACATAAATTTAAACAGAAGGCGCCATTTGCGAGTACAATCAAACATCCGTCCCTTGCGGATAGTAAAATACCATGCATATAAATTTACAATTTAAAAGTATCCTAGCCGGAGACTACATATATTAGTCCTACTTAAACTGACACCAAAATTAAATGAATCGTTCTAACTTCGGCTGGAAAATGATTAATGTCGAAATATTCACTGGTAAAGCTGGGAGATAGAATTTAAAGAGTTGCTGTCAATTGCTAAATATTCAAAATACTCACCTTAAATAAATGCAAGTCAAATTTGCATCCTGGTGAGGGCTAACGAAGAGAAAAGTTATAGCATAGGTCAAAATCCAAAACATAAAATGCTTTATGCCCAACTGTCATTGCTAAAGAAGCAGTACAGCATGGGAGTTTAAGCAAGTTCACCACTGAAATTGTTGACCACATTCCTTACAGGCCAAATTTAGCTCGAAATGTTATTTTAATTATGTGGTCTCCAAGTGATAATTTTCAATTCTTCTGAAAAATCTTTGTGGAAAAAAATTAATGATAATGATGGCGTGAAGGGAACATTTGTAGAACGTCTTGAGAAGAAACATTCAGATTACTTTTCTATTTCTTTAATATTACGCAGGTATATATCAACATATTTTTTTAACTTATACTTAACATTTGTGTTGATTGACTTATAAATTAATAATAAGAAGAGAAGAATCTCTGATATTTATTTATGACCCTATTTCATTTCAAATGCCATGCTGATTATCGTAACCGAAGATTTTTCTTCTTTATATCCTTTATGAGTTACCTATCTTCTTTATATACTTTATAAGTTGATTTATTTATTACTGATATACGCAAGCTGATGAGTACATTCTTTTCATTTCAACAAATTCTGTCTCATGTTTGCTGTTATGTTTCTATATTAATTTATTTTCACCTTTCTTTATTACAAATAATTTTAAAAGTCGAACATGTATATTTTTACAACATTGCTATTCACGAATTCTCATAACATTCTGTCAGGTAAATTGAAACTTTATTCCTTCACTTAAGTGATACAATTTAGATTTAGTTGAAATTTAAAATAAAAAGTAAGGTCCTTTTTCTATAATATTTGGCTACCAAATAAATTGGATCAAAATTAGGGTTAATTGAGATGACAAACAGCAGAACAATTACTCGTACATATGATTGCGCACGCTGCATTACATTCTTTCCTCATGCTCATGTCTAGAATTTTTTAATTAATTAATTTATTTATTTATTTCGAATGTTTGGACATAATGATGTGTTTCTGTTATTTTTCTTTTGGTTTCATTTTTAGTGAAACATAAGCATTAAGAAGTAGAAGTGTAGCATTAAGAAATAATCAGCCTAAATAATTTTGTTGAATTTTTATTACAATTGCAGATAAAAATATCACAATTTTCAATAAGGCTTTTCTATCACAATTCAAAAAAAAAAAAAAAAAAATTGAAAATGGCAATCAGATGTTCGTAAGAAAATTTCTTCTCTCTGTTTCTTACACCGTGATAATGTGCGAATTGCATGGCAAAATTTTATTAAAATTACTTTACCGTTTCATTCCATTGTCGTTAATCACATACTTTCAGCTCGTTTCAAAGATGAAAGGTTTCACAGATAATGCTAATCAATCTTTACCTAGTTTCAATAGAAGAATTACAAATGGTTACTTTTGGAAACTTTGACACTAAATTTCTACTACAAGACCACTTTTCTCTAGTGCATTCTCCCAGTCCACAAGGCTTCTTTTCAGCATGTTCAGTTTAAGACAGAAGTTGCAAGAGTTATCTGTCGTGGGAGGGTAACTTACGTGGAGGATTTTCTGCAACGAACTTCTGCAGTTCATGGTATATTAACTAAAGCATAAGGCTTACGGACTTGATGAGAAAAATTTATTTTAAGGTTAATTTTTCGACTGCTATGTCGAAAATCACCTGTTATTTTAAGGTCTATGCATGTTTGAATGTTAAATGATTTTCTTCAGACCTTTCTACTAAAACAATTATTTTAGTGCATTTCATAAACGACTACACTGATTTTCATAAAATAACGTGTTGCAATGAAGCAGAATGAGTAGAGAATTAGTATTCATAACATTTGATTTATTGTTGTTACTATCCTTACTATTACAGTTATTATTAATATTACAAATTACTTTTAATACATTAAACGTTAAATTTTGTTGGAGACAAATTAAATTTTTATTTATGAATCAGAGGTACAGATTTAAAAATATGATTTTTTAAAAAAATAATTCTAATTTCCTGAAAAATCACTCATCTTTCCAATTTTCCTGAAAAGGGCATCCAGAATTTTTCAGATAAAGAAACCCATTAAAATTATCTGGAAACTGCACCATGCTAATTTCTTCAAAACTAGCAACAGGATTTAAGATGAGTAGTAATCAGAAAAATGATAAATACAGAATTATAGTAAGCTTTAAAGCATTTCAACGTAGATTTCAGTTATCGCTGAAGCCATACTGATTCAGTTTTTGTATGTAAGCTTCTTGACTGAGGATGAAAGCCTGATACTTAGAGGGATTGATAGGTTCTGCTGTTCCACCGAGTTCTTCAGGAAGGACCTCTGGATTAATATATCGATGCAGAGATTTTACATCATCCCCGTGAATATGAAACTGAAATATAAAAACAATCACAATTAAATTCAAAATTACTGCCTTTAAAATGCTGAGTTAAAAGTTTAAATACCTTAAGAGTCACTATTAAACTTTAAATTTTGTTAAATATTATTATTTTGTAAAATGATTGTTGTTTTGCTTAATATTATTATAGCTGTTGATATTAGAAATTGAAGTTACAATAAGATACTTTATTTAAACCACGGATAAAAGGTCATACTTTTAAATTATTTACATTAATAATTACGTATTTATTACTAAAAATTGTCTATGTTAATACATAATTATGAACACATGTTGCTGAAACAATTAAAAATTACATTACCAGTATTAGATTTATCGATTTTTAATATTATTATGTACAGTCATTAGGTTATTTTGAAACAAGAGATGTGAAAAATGTGCAGTGCTCTCGCAGGGACTCGAACCTGGACCTTTCGAATACACTGCGAACATTACACCACGAAGGCACACGGAAGCGAGGGAGAAAATCCCCTTTTAAACGGCTACTGAGGATTAGGGAACGCAATCGCCAAATCCTGGTGGTGACGAATTATCGTCCACCATCTTTTAGTTCGGGCGCCAGTGTAGAGTCATTAGTTTCCATGAAGCAGGAGACATGAAAAATGAGAAATGCCTTCGCCGAGGCTTGAACCTAGACCTCTCGAATGCGCCCCGAGTGTGCTACCGTTACACTACGAAGGCATGTGGAAAGGAGGGAGAACTTACCTTGTAATTAAATTAAAAGTAAATTAATATTTGAGTTTTAGAAAAATCTAACCATCATCATTAAAATGAATACACTTTTACTATGAAAATGCAAAGCGAATAATTAGACATTTTCGAGAAGACTAATGTTTAAAGTATTCCGTATTAGCCTACCTGCCCAATAAAATCAACAAAATATGTAAGGAGTAAAATCAATAACCACACATTTAAGTGAAATGTTTATCCCACTGCTAAACAACATTTATAAATGTAAACAATGTTTTTTTCAAAGTTATTGTTGAAAACTCTTGACAGAAATTTAAATTTCAAAATTATCAATCTTAATTTTATAAATATCATAAAATACACTTATAACTTCATAAAATATACCCTTATAACTTCATAAAATACCCTTATCCAAAAAATTATTATTCATATATAACAATGTGCTCAAATATTCGTTTACTGCTCATCAAACATAAATGAATGTCTTATCATAAGCTTTTCTTTAAACTGAATTCTTCTAATTTTAATCTTAACACAACATTAAACAATACTCATAACACTTAACTCCTTCCTTTCAGTTAAATAATCATTCTATTTTATTCATATTTATTTATTTTATTTCAAGAATAATCTTTCAAAACATTCATTAAAGCAAATAAATTAGTGAAATTTCGTTAATGCACAAAAACAAAAACAAAAAAAAAAAAAAGTAAAAGATAACAAAGAAAGAAAAGAAGGAAAAACAAAATCTGAAAGGTTTCAGATTTTAAATTACGCCCAAAAGGGCGTTTTTTTAACGTTTTATGTGTTACTTTATTTATTAAATATCATGTTCTTTGCACTTAAACCATAAAATTCAGTTCAACAGCAATGTCGCAAAATAATTTTAAAATGAGCCTATCTTTAGACTTTCCAATACACAGTTCCGCGCTGGAGATAAGAAGGTTTGCCATTGCTCGCTTTTAAATCGTTGCGTTTGTTAATTAAAAATTCGTTAAAGCTTTACAAAATATGAAATCGATAATGAAGCAAATTCCACAATTCAATTAGGGCTTTCTGATGCCCATATTCGCAATAGGATTACGTCATTCAAAATTGGATGGCTCTACAAGTAGGTACCGTTGTTTTATAACAATGAGAGAAACATACATACATTTATGCAGATTCTTCAAATATAATACAGGGCGATAGTATTTGGTGGCAACGATTTGAAAAGTAATACGCCGTTTATAGGGTTCCGACGCAAAATCGCAAAACGAAAACAATAGTCCTTCAGGCACAAAAGCCCCTTTGGACTTAAATAACAATAATAATAATAAAACTGAAAAGTTTCAGATTTTAAATTACGTCCAAAGGGGCATTTTTTTAACGTTTTGTGTGTTTACCTTTATTTATTAAATATCATGCTCTTTGCACTTCAACCATAAAATTCAGTTCAGTAGCAATGTCGCAAAATAATTTTAAAATGAGCCTGTCTTTAGAATTTCCGATACACAGTTCCACGCCCGCTGGAGATAAAAAAGGTTTCTTTTTTACCCGTAGAGTGTTGCCATTGCTCGCTTTTAAATCGCTGAGTTTGTTACTCAAAAATTCGTTAAAGTTTTACAAAATATGAAACCGATAATAAAACAAATTCTAAATTTCAAATTTGGTCTTCCGCATGCCCATATTCGTAGGGAGATAACGTCATTCAAAATTCGATGGCTCTATGTACCGTTGTTTTATCACAATGAGAGAAATATACATACATGTATGCAGATTTTTCATTATTTACTTTCTTCAAATATAATGCAGGACTTTAACATTTGGTGGCAACAGTTTGAAAAGTGAAACGGACATTTACAGTGATTCAACGCAAAATCTCAAAACGAAAAAAATAGTCCCTTAAGAAAAAAAAAAAAAAAAAAAAAGGGGGGGGGGGGGAAGAAAGAAAAGTGGGACTGTTCCTATATCTCCTGTTACACTCAGCGGATTGACGAAATTTAACTTGCATTTATCATGTCTCGAAAGCGCGCCTTAGGGTATGTAATAGATTTATATATAACATTGTTCTAACACTGGTATTTTAACACAAAATCAGAATGTTTCTATCATCACATATTTGATTCACATCACATATAGATATTTTGATTCTACAACTCAAATTATGCCTAAATATTAAATTTTGTAAAATTTGATGAAAAACGTAACGAGAATTTTAAAATTTTATCTAGGCGCACTTTTTCCAGATTGTGCGAAGAACAACTAATTCATTTGACGAAATTCTTGATTTACATTAACCTATTTTTCTTTTCCTTTTTTTCATTGTGCAAGAGCGGGAAAAAATGCATCGTTCAATCTTCAAACAATTTTAACAAAGTGTGTAAAACACATTTGGCGTCATTATCGCCTATAACAAATATGTCAAATTTCAGAACGCGTCAGTGTATAAATTTACGATATCTTTGGAAATTTTGAAAAAAGTTTTTGCAGGTATACTTAGAAATACATCTACATCTACACTGGTGTGCAAAAATTAAGGACGAGACGGTTTTTTTCAATATAACCTTTGTACAAAAGCTTTCCAAATCAACACATTAATACCGTAAGATCCCCAATACGTAAGGACATGAGTAATGTAAGCAACACTTACTAAAAGAGAAATCAGAGGGATAAAAAGAAGCTTTATTGAAAAAGTAGCATGGAGCGCAATGCGACTGAAGGCCGAAACATCCCTGTGATGGGTGTCCAGCAAGAAACATCCGATCTTTAATAGGGGATATGATCTCCCCTGAGCTAGGCAGGTTTCACAGCGTCTGCCCATGCTGAGAATGAGGGTGTCAATGAGTTGTTGAGGCATTGCTGCCCATTCGTCTTGCAGCACCAATCGAAGCTCCGGAATCGTTACTGGTGGTAAGGTACGAGCTGCCAAGCGTCTGCCTAGAAAATCCCATACATGCTCGATGGGATTGAGATCCGGAGATCGTGCCGGCCAATCCATACGTTCAATATCCTCACTCTCTAAGAGCTGTTCGGCAGCTACTGTGCGATGACATGGTGCATTGTCGTCCATGAAAAGGAACTGCGGTTCCATAGCGCCTCTAAAAAGACGCACATATGGAAGAAGAATCACATTACAATAACGGGTCCCGTTGACTGAACCTGCGTCGAAGATGTGAAGGTCTGTACGACTACCAAGCATGATGCCTCCCCAAACGAGAACACCGCCACCTCCATACCTGTCCCTTTCAATGATGTTCGAGGGATGATTGCGGTTTCCCCGCTCTCTCCAGATGAGTATGCGATCAGAATCGCTACTCAGACTGAATCTGCTCTCATCTGTAAAGAGTACTCGTCCCCATTCATTGTCTCTCCAATTCCGGTGTTCCCGGCACCACAGAGAACGCCTTCTCCGATGGGCAGGCGTTAGAGGTACACACCGTACAGGGCGTCGTGCAAACAGACCACCACCGTGTAGTCTTCTGGCCACGGTAAAACGCGATATCAGTTGTCCAGTCGCCTGTGTCGTGTGTCTAGCGATTTCTCCTGCTGTCTGCCGCCTGTTTCTTCTGGCCTGTAAGGCAATATACCAGTCATCTGCGGGTGTGGTTCCTCGTGAACGACCACTACTAAACTCCCGGATAGCTGTTCCTGTAGTTTGAAATTGTCTCCAAAGTCGTGAAACGATGCTGTGAGCAATTCCGAACTCTGCAGCCACACTTGTCACACTGCGGCCTTCCTCCAACTTCCCAATGATTCGACCTCGGGTAAAAGCATCCAGATGTCGTCTAACAGATTGATTATTCGCCATTTCTCGCTGAGGCAGCAACTCGGTGTGATTTTAACTGCTATACGGCGTGCAATCTCTTTGCCAGAAATACTGATCTTACACCGACAACATGCTTTATACTACTCAGACACTCCCCCATTACGTCTACCTGCATATCTGCGCATGTGCTACCGTACATCACCTTACTTAATCTCCTGATTGGTCTTTCTGTCCGCTCTGCCTCTTTTCAGCTGATATGCTAATTTTTCGACTTCGTCCTTAATTTTTGCACACCAGTGTACATCAAGATAATAGCAAAAATTTTACAGGATTTATTTTAGCAAAAATTATTAAATCCAAAACTGTTCCGAAAAATTTATAAATTTTTTTTAAAAATACAAATTTAAAAAACAAATTAGAAAGTATCTGCGAATTTTATTCGAATTGAATCTAAATTTCGGATTGTGAAAGAAGGAATCAAGTACGTTTAATAAGAAAAGAGATATTAATAAATATATACTTAATTCAATTAACA